ATTGGCAGAAAGGTGTCAATTATGCCAGTTAGATGAATGGTTAAGTACCGTTGAGTAAAAGAAAAATGGTCTAGTTGTACAATTGGCAGAAAGGTGTCAATTATGCCAGTTAGATGAATGGTTAGGTACCATTGAGTAAAAGAAAAATGGCCTAGATGTGCAATTGGCAGAAAGGTGTCAATTATGCCTATTAGATGAACATTTAAGTACCATTAAGTAAAATAATAATGGCCTAACTGTGCATTGGCAGAAAGGTGTCTATTATGCCAGTTAGATGAACGTTAAACACTGTTGAGTAATAGAATAAAGAAATTTTAATGTATTGTGATATGAAGGGATGATATATATATATTGTACAACAATGCATAATGGTATGAATGGACGTTATATAGAAAAAGGTAAACAAAATATCAAAGGCATGAAAAGGTGCCATAAATGAAAGGTATAATAATGTATAAAAGGCATATAAGGATGACATAATTGAAATGCATATAAGTGCATTATAATGATGAATGGAGGCTATCAATGAAAATAAAGAATAATGACTAAAGAGATAAATAAAAAGGAAAAATGTAAAGGAAGATAGGTATGCTAGGCATACGAAAAAGAATTAAGAAAATTATGAATGAAATATGTTTTAAATGAGGAGGAGTATGGGATAATTAAAGACTATACGATTTAGTACGAAATAAATAAATGTGACATAATTATGTATATTCAAAGGTTACGTTACAATATTATGTCTCACTAAGTAATTACTTAACGTGTGTTTATTTTACGCATAGGTAGAGACAAGGACTAGTGCGTAAGGTGTGTAGTAGTATCAACAGCTTTAATCAATTAAAGGTTGACTCGTCAGTAATATTATGACAATATTATTCAATTTAAGAACTTAGTTGACATGTAATTAAATTATGGTAAATATTTTGGAATGTAATTATGTGATAGTTTAGTATGTTGCTTTCAGAAACATCATATTTTATAATTGATCAATTTGAATCAAAATTTTACGGGTTTCAAATGACAAACATTTTTATAAAGTAATGTGACCTCTGTATCTCATGTACGGAAAGGTATACGGGATATGGGTGTTACACATACGATGCATATAAATTCCGGGTTGTATTGGTACGATTTTTTATGCATGTAAATTCCAGAATCGTACCTTATGGTAGACTAGGTTCGGGATATGAACTTTTGATGCACATAAATTCTGGACCTCATCCAACCACTTGAGGATCTGAGGTAGACTAAGGGCTATAAGTTCTGATACACATAAATTTTGGTTCTTACCCCGAAGTTATCAAGTTCTAGATAGGCTAGTGTGTTGTCCGAGATGCAAGTAAATTCCTCCTACCACACCACTTGGCCTATCTCATGTTTGTTATATACTTTCGCATGTTTATGACCTTGCACTCATGCATGTTCATGTAATGAATGCATGTAGTATTGGATAGTTATTTTTGTGGTATTGAGCTTGTGAGCTCAGCACATGGAATGTGTTTCTGTGCGTAGGTTAGTAGGGGATCGTTGAGGAGACTATCACATTCAATACATTCTAGATCAGACGATTTACAGAGTATGTATTGAGTAGATTTTAAGGACATGCATTTTATATGGACTTTGTAATATACTCATTGGTCTTATTTGTACGTAATTGGGAGACTTCCGCATTTTGTAAACCTTAATTCAATTCCTCTTATGATATAATGGATGATTTTGATAAGTATAAATTGTTTTTAAAAGAAATTTTCGGGTTGACCATTTCAGTGGTCTCAGGTGACATCGTAGTCCATGTATCTTCGAGTCGAACTGGATTAAGATGTTACATTTCTGACCACAAAAGCCAATAATCATGGATGTGACATAAGTTTTAGACTCCTAAAGGTTTTTTCGTTAAAAATAAGTACACTTTTAGGTGTCTCAATTGTAATGACTATTAAATTCAACCGTTAAATGACATATGTCAATTTTATAAAATTTTATTTTAAGAAAAAACACTTAAAAATATTCTTTTAAAATCCTTTTTTCTGAAATTATAAAAATATTTCAAACTTCCTTAAAAACCTGATTTCAATCCTTTTGTCATTGTCCTCCGTTGCCAACCAACCGAAATTCCAATAGCGTGGGACCAACCGAACATCCAACGGTCAAAATTCTTGCTCTAAACTCTAATTGTAGTGATCAACTGATGATTATAGTGTGGAGAACCCATTTCAGTCGATCACTAAATCTTGTATTTATACAATCGTTTGGTGTTCGATCAGTTGTGAAAATAAAGGGTTTAGACCGTTAGATCGTTGGCCAATCAAACAACGTTGAGTGTTCGATCGATTGACGACATTGATGACGATTGACATTGCTAGGGGATTAAAAATAGGGTTTAAAGTGATTTTATATTTTTTTGATAATTTTATAAAATTTTAGGTTGTTTTAAAATAAATTCTAATTTTACATTTTTAAATTTAAATTAAAAGAATTAAAATTTTATAAACGTTATTGAATTTAATGACCGTCACATTTCAAACACATAAAAGTATAGTTGGAAACTTTAGACACATATTTTTAACAAAAGGCTTTATACACTCTAAAGTTAATTTAGAGTATACTTTAGATATTTATGTTTACAAAGCCAAATAAACATAACATAAAAACAAAATACATGTAATACATTGAACATTTAAAAAATTCAAACACCACATCATAAAATTTGACAGCGAGAAAAAATATTCATGCCATTAATCCTAGGGATGGGCATGGATCGGGTTTTTGAACCACCTGACCCGACTCGATAGACAATTAAAAAATCCAACCCGATTTAATTTTTTATTTATTAAAACCCACAAATTGCTGGTCTCTTGTAATCATGAAAAAAGGAGTAATCATGAAAGGATTGAGCCTAGTAATCATGAAAGTTATTGGTCTTTTGTACTGCCATTGAAACATCTGTCGTACCAGAAGTTGCAGGCACATGAGTAGGAATAGAGAAAGTAAAAAAGTAAAATAATAATAATAATTATGCATTAATTATTCGGGCCGGGTCGGGTAGGATTATTTTAACCCTAAACCTGTCTCCAAATATTTTAATATAAAACCCGATCTGAACCTTAATTTTTTTTAAAAAATATGACCCGATCGGGTCGGAACCCATCAGGTTCGGGTTCCATGTCTATCCCTAATTAATCCTAATATAAAAGCTTTGAGATGCTTTCGAATGAAAATTGCAAATCATTTTTCAAGTAGACCCCTGCGAAGTGAAGGCATCAAAGGTTTTTATTATTAAATAATCATGTGTAATAAAAATTATTTTTATGCTTAATTCCTAAATAAGTGTCCAAATTATACATTTCGTGTTAAATAAGTGCCTACATTAGTTTTTAGTTCATCCATGTGTCTAACGTTATAAAAGTTACATTTTTAGGTGCAGGGCCATCAAAGGCGTTAGTTTTTCCTGTTAAATGACCATGTCACAATTTGGTAAAAATAAAATTATATATTATAAAAAAGAAAACACATAAATTTTAAAATAACCCCTAAACTTTGAAAACCTTCATTTCAACCCCTAAAGATATGCCGACCACCTTCCTTTGCCGTTGAAGAAGCTCCACCCGATCTCCCCTCCCATCGACGATCAAAACCCCTGTGAAATCATGACTGGTTGATGACCGATCGACGACAAATCGACGTTTTATACCCTGCGAACCTTAGGAAGAAAATCGTGATCCCTCACGATTCTGACGATTAATCGGCGATAACTACGATGACATATAACTAGGTTGATGACAAGGTCTACATCGACGAAGGCGGTTATGGCCGGAGAGGGCGTTGGTAGTTGGTTAGTCTTAGGATTTGGAGATTTTAGAGATTTTGAGGCTTTTTTGTATTTTACAAGAAGTTAGAGTTTTTTTTTATAAATATAAGACTTAATATAAAAATAAATGTCTAAATTATACTCAAAATTAACTTTTAGTGACTAAAGAAGTTTTTGCTAAAAATAAGTGTATAAAATTTTCTCTTTTACACTTTTAAGTGTCTGCCTTTAAAAAATCATTAAGTGACACATGTCTAGATTTTAAATATATATATATTAAATAATATATTTTTAAAAATATAAACGTGACTAGTGTCACTTAACAATTTTTTTAATAGTAGACACCTAAAAATGTAATGAAGAAAACTTTAGGCACCTATTTTTAATGATAAAATCTTTAGACATATTTTTCGAGGCATTCTTTAAATACTTATTTTTATATTGAGCCTAAATATAATAATTTTTTTAATTTTTTTAAAAAAGATAAATTTTAAAATTATCAAATTGTGACACGTATTACTTAATAGAGGAAAACTAATGTTGTTGACAACTCGAACACATAAAAATATAACATTTGTAACGTTTGATACTTAGATGTACTAAAAAAATAACGTCGGAACATATTCGGCATAAAAGTTTTTGGTCACTTATTTTGGCATTAATTCTTAATTTTATTCATAAATTTGATTAAGAGACGGGGGATGATTTGAATAAAAATAATATATTCGGACAACAATGTTTTTATGTAAATATAAAAAGTAAAATATTGAGAGAGAAAAATTATAAAGACAAAGAACGACAAGAAGAGGGGAAGTCTCACGTGCGACAATTTTGATATACTGTTAACGAAAGGTACTACCAGTTTTATTATTATTTTTTTAATATTTCTGATAAAAAATTACCTAAAATATTATTATTTTTATCCATTTTGTTATTATTGGGCGTTATATTGGGTTTGTTAACATATTAGGTAAAACTTTACATAAAACATTATTTTTTATCGATTTTATTATTATTTGACAGTTTACCGAAAATGTTAAAAAATTAATATTTTAAGTAAAAATAATAATATTTTAAATAATTTTTACTGAAAATATTAAAAAAAATAATAATAAAATTGGTAAGATCTTTTCTTAACAGTATATTAAGACTGCAATACCGTAGTTTAAGAATTCGTATTATGTTGGGATTGAATAAGCGTTAGTGTGCGAAAGAAATCTAACGGCTCTGATCTCTGCTCAACCTGCAGGTTCCAGTGACTGTGGCGGATGCATCATCATCATTGGTGATGATGTTCTTTTGAAGTCTTTTTAAATAGCAGACGACAGCCGTTGACCTGGAACCATCTTCTTCATTTCTAGCTGGTTCATTAACTTCAGCTAATCTTGGTTGTTTCAATAATCTTGATGATCCTATCGATGATGCTTCTCCATTGGACCAACCTCCCGAGCCTGCAAGAGATGAGGAGCACCCAATCTCATCCTGCATTCGCAACAAAAGAGAATCATTGAAAATCCAGAGAAAATTTGATTGTTTGGAAAATATAAAAGCCTCTGTTGATTAACTAGAAACTTAGAACACTTATAAATATAAAGAATTTTTTGATTCATCAAATCATTGAAAATATTCAAAAAATTACAAACATGTTCAGTAGAGATCTCTTGTTTTCCAAAGCAGAGATATGTTTTCAAAAGAACTTTGAAAAAAAAATTATTTAACATATTTTTTCCTGCAAAACATTGTTGAATTAAACCATATTCGAATTCAAATATAAAATCATAAAAAAATCTTTAAAAGAGAAAGAGTCAACATACATCAGAGCAAAAACTTTGATTTTCTCTCATCCTCTTCAACACAAAACCACCGCCATCTTCACCGCTACACTCCAAGCTAGCCACGGGGTTTCGACATCGATAAAGAAGAAGATTCGGCTGACCACCGAACCACCTGATTTTCAGCATCTTCAACCTCCTCTTCCACCGCCTCATCATCATAATCTTCGTCTTCCTCTTCTTCACCATACTCTCCCTCCGATGACTCTTCCGCCGTCACTTCAGGCTCATCATTCCTGTTCTCAACGCAGGAATCGCAAACAGTGACGGCGGAACCGAGATTGCGACCAGATGCAAGCCAAGGAGTAGGGTTTTGACAGACATGGCAAAGAAGGGTTCGACTGTGCTTGGCTACAAGGAAGTTGGCTCCATGAACCTTCAAATCGCAATCCCAACATAAGTTCGCTTGATCTGATTCACAGTCAATTCGAGCTAACTTTCCACATAGTTCACACTTCTTCATTCTATCTTTCCCCATATTCTTTTTCTTGACGTGTTTGGTTGAATGAAAAGATAGTAAGAAACGGGATAGTCTCAGGAAAGACGAATTAATATATTGTTAATATACGGCATTATCGCATATATTAAAATATGTTTAATAAATTCGATTTAGCGCTACTTATTATGTTGACAGACTAATAATGTTTTAGGTAGAAAACATGAAAAACTATTAAAAAAATTGATAACCGGTAAACTTTAGTTATCGGTAAGTATCTATCCTTTTTATAAAAGTATCATTTTTATAAAAGTATCCATACTTTCAACATATCAGGTAAATTTTAACGGTTTTGTCATAATGAAACTGATTTTGTCATATTTTTACCTGTTATATTGTAAAGTATCTATCATTTTTATAAAAGTGTTCATACTTTTTTCACTGTGGAAAACATTAATTTAAGGTTATCTTTTGAGTAAGTTTTAAGATATTAATTTAGTAATTATAGGCGTCTAATGATTTATTTTTTACGTTACGATATATATTATTATTAAATTAAAAACAATAAACATATATATTACATATTTATTATTATCTTTGGTTAATATTGTTAAATTTAAATATTAAATAATATTTTATAAAATATCAAAACAATCAAATAATTTTTTGTGTAAATGAAATTATTAAATTAATATTGTAGGTGGAAAACATGAAACACTATTAAAAAAATTGAAACATAAATTACATAACTTTAAAAAAAATATCGATCCTTTTTATAAAAAGTATAGACACTTTCAATATAATAGGTAAAAATATGATGTAATAGGTAGCGCTTATATAATGTAATAGGTAGCGTTTATATAATGTAATAGCTAGTGCTTATATTGCAAAATATTTATCCTTTTTATAAAAGTATCCATACTTTTTTCACTGTGGAAAATATTAATTTAAGGTTATCTTTTGAGTGAGTTTTAATATATTAATTTAGTAATTATAGGTGTCTAATGATTTATTTTTTACGTTACGATATATATTATTATTAAATTAAAAACAAAAAACATATATATTACATATTTATTATTATCTTTGGTTAATATTGTTAAATTTAAATTTTAAAAATTATTTTATAAAATATCAAAACAATCAAATAATTTTTTGTGCAAATGAAATTATTAAATTAATATTGTAGGTGGAAAACATGAAACACTGTTAAAAAATTGAAACATAAATTACATAAATTTTAAAAAAGTATCGATCCTTTTTATAAAAAAGTATGAACACTTTCAACATATTATAATGTAATAGGTAAATTTACAATGTTATCGGTATAAATATACCGGTTTACTTATAAAATAGGTCAATATAAGTGCTACCTATTACATTATATAAGCGCTACCTAATATGTTATTGTACTTTATAATATTTCCGGTTAAATAATATAACATAACCGGTCTAAATTTTAACCGGTCACTTGTTTAACCGGTCACGCCGTATATTAACCGTTTTTTAGGCACCGCACCGCAGAACTACCCGTAAGAAACCTACCTCACATACCCCCTAAATCTAGGCGTTATTATATTAAAAAATTTCTTTAATTATTTTTTTAGAAATAACATCTTGCGAGATTAGTTAGAAAAATAATCTAAAAATGTCCACGTAAGATATCTCGAGTTTTGGAAAAACGAGGTCAAATCTCATGTTTTACGAAAAATAAATTTGATATATTTATTATTATTTTTATTTAATATAAAATGATTTTATCTCAAAAAAATTGATAGGTCTCGCTTCCTATAAAACGTGAGGTCCATTAAACGCTTTTTATAGGACATTAGATAATCCTACGTGGACTGTTGGATTTATTTTTTTAACTAATCTGACATGGGTTTTTTTTTTTTTTAAAAATAATTAATGAGGTTTTCTAATAAAATAACACCATAAATCTAAGGCTTAAAAGTCAAAAAGGTGCCTAATGTATTTTTTTTCAGTTTGACGCCTAACGTTTTTTCGTTTTAGTTTGGTGCCTAACGCTTCATTCCGTAACTCAATTTGGGTCAGGCCGTGATGGACCGTTAAATGCCACCTGACATGGGTATAATATAAAAAAAATGATTTTCCCTCTCTTTCTTCTCTTCCCTTTCATTTTCTCATCTTTCCCGAACCAAAACAAAAAATGATTTTCCCTCTCATCTTCCATCTGTTTCTCCTCTTCCCTCTCTTCCCCTTCACTCTCTTCCCATGCAATCAATCCAGCATTCGTCGGGGTTAAAATCTAGTCGACAACCGGACGTCCACGAGGAGCCTTAGAGTAACAATGGTTCATCACCAGTAAAGCTTTTAACTTCATTGATGACCAAGGCCAAGCTTTATTAGCATGGAAGAAGAGCTTAAACTCCACTAAAGAGGCACTAAAGTTCATCAATGGAGTAACAATGGTTCATCACCGGTGCAGTCAGCTTCCAAAACAGTTTTGTAATAAATCGGTTGAAAACCGATTGAACCGGCAAAACCGGTGTGAGCCGGCTGAAAACCGGTAAAATCGGTGTGAACTGCCAGTTTTTTTTTTATAAAAAAAATTAAACCAAACAACGTCATTTGTTAAACGAACCAAGTCGAACTCGAGTATTGTTGAGCTCGACTCGAACTCAAAAACTTTAAAAGTAAGCTCTACTAGACTCAAAAACTCGCGAGCTAAAAATTATCAAGCTCAGCTCAAACTCGAAATATAATATTGAAACTTGAACTCGAAAAGCTGTAACTCAAAAAAATTTCAGATGCTCAATTGAAGCCTGAAACTTGAGCTCGATTGAAGCGAAAGAATAGTTCGCCCTGTTCTCACCACAAGGCTCTGTGAATTTGAATGTCAAATTACCTTATTTATAAAAGTCAGTTGGGATGTTATTCTATGTTTCTTAGCCATGTGGGATTGTTTTGTTCTCCTATTTTTGCTCTTCTATGCTCTTTAGATGTTTTTCTGTAGTGCTGTACATATTAATATTGATTTGAATATTATGTAAAATTTTTTAAAAATATTATTTTATATAAACTGGTTCAACCCGGTTGAACCACAGTTAAACTAGTGAACAAGCACCTTCATCGATTTAAGTTCCGGTCCGATTTTAGAAACATTGGAAATTATGGAAGAAAAGCAATTCACTTATTCATATGTTCCTATATTTCTTAAAGAATAAAATAAATAATAAATCATATTATCCTAATCGTGTTTATGAAACTTTTTGATAGTCAATTTTTATAAAATTTGATCATAATTGCAAGAATAATTTATCTTAATAGTTAAAAGAATCGTTGTTACTCTTAGAGATAATGGATTCGAGAATCAATAATTGCAGTAGAGTGATTGAGCGTTTATTGTCAAATGATTGAGAGCATTTAGAACAAATACTACTTTGTAATCATCTTAGCTTAATAAAAAAATTCATCATAATTATTTTAAATAATTAAAAATTACTTGAGCAAAGAATTTATAAAATATATTATTTTATATTTTTATAATAATAAATTTTAAATAAAAAGAACTCAAATTAAAAATATTTTTAAATAAAAGACAATTCTAATAAGATAGAAAATATAATATATAATATAATATATATTTATTTTTACATGATATAATTAAGTTAATGTGATTATAAATTAGTATAAAATTTAAATACTCTTACTTATTTGATAATAAAACGCTCAAGTATCTATGTAATTATTGGTATTCGAACTAATAATCTCTAAAAACAATAATAATTTTTTAACCAAGTTGATTCGTACTAAAATTGTTATTTGATGCATATATTATTATAACAATTCGGACATTCACTCGATTAGAGGTTTTGCTTTGTCCTACCAATAATGGCTGCATGTGACAGACGTTTGAAAATTTTGAAACGTATGGGCAATTATGGATTTGTAGGCTCCATTTCAGAAGCTGAGGAACTACCCTCCCTAGAGTTTTTTTATGTAATATATATTTAATGTAATATCATTGCATAAATATATATTGTAATGAATTTTTTTCTCAACAAATAACTTTATTGATCATTTTTAGAAGCATTAAATATAAGGTAAAAATGTATTTGAGGCCTTTGTGCTTTTCAAGAAAATTATTGTGGTACTCCAATTATTTTCTTATTCAATGAGACTTTCAAACTTAGAAAAAGAATTAAATGTGATTTTTTGACTTTCAAACGTAATTTAACTTTTATTTTTAATTTTCTTATATTTAATGTTTTGAATATTATTATATTTTAAATTTAAAGTATTTTTATTTATCTAAAAAATAAATAAGTCCTTAGACTTTCAAAAAAATTAATTTGCCCCTTGAATGTGATAAAAAAATCAATTTAACCTATAAATCATGTCATCAGTCATAGTGAACTGTTACGTTAGCACCATGAAGTACCTAGCCAACAACGTAATAGCTAACCATAAAAACCGTTAGTTAAAGAGTCACGTTGAATTCTTTTCTAAGTTAGAGAGTCACAATTAATACAAAAATAGTTCGAGAACAACCTTAGTTTTTTATAAAATGTACACTAGCATTAACTACTCTATTGCCGATATATAAATACCGAGAGTGAATCAAATACTATCATTTTACGTTATTTCCACATTGTTTTTAGATTTATTAATTAAAATTGTTAAATTATGAGGAATTTGATGATGTCGCATGATTCATGTGAAGATGTTGATGTAGTACACAATTAAAGGAGGTGTTGAAAACATTTTTGATGTTTCGATATAATAAATTAAGTATAAATAAATTTTAAGATTTTACAAATCATTTTCTAAGTATATTCGAATCAATTTACTCGAATTTCAAGATATTACTTCAAGTCTTTAAAAGATCAATTTCAATCCTTACTAAAGTATAAAATTGTGTTTTAATCTTAAAATAT